TTCTCTATAATTTGTACCTATTATTATTCAAAAAAAATTATTCAAAAGATTTAAAAAAAATTTCAACATCTTATAAAAATAATTTTTTTCATTAATTTAATATTTAATTTATACATATTTATATATAGTTTTTTAAAATCAATTTATTTATTTCCCTTTAAAGAACAACGCTGATCAAATTCAAAAACACTACACTTATAAATCTCAATAGCAAAAAAAAAACAAAAAAACAAAAAAACAATAGTAGCATGATAAGCAAAAAACACAAACTCCATTGGAACATATTTGTTTTGGTCATTGCTTTTAAAGAATAATCAATTGAATGCATCTAAGTAAGCAAATGAGAAAATCAAGTAAAATTTTTACTTAGAATGGAAAGAAAACTAAAAAGTATAAATAAGTAAACAACTTACCTTGAAGTCTTTAGAAAGAAAAGTTTGTGGCAAAAAGAGCACTTGTCGGACTCATATGAGAAAAAAAGAAAGGGCTGAGTGGACGTAATGGTGACTCGATAAAACTAAGATATAAGTCTGAGATAATGTTAAAGATTAAAGAGAAAAGGTGGAGTCGAAACTTGAAACTCGAAGGCTGTATGGACTATGGAGGTTAAAGAATATGAGGAGAGTTTGAAGTTTGAAGTTTGAAGAGTTAGAGTCTTCAAGAGTATTAGGGTAAGCAAAAATAGGAAAAGTCGAGAGGTGAGTTATGAGTGGAGTGGGATTATTTTTGCTTCTAGAAAATGATGAGTTAAGAGAATCAATTAGTTAATTAGGAAAAATTAGTCAATTATTAGAGGTTTAGGTGAGATTAGGAATTGGAAAATAAAATAAATAAATAATAAGTTAAAAAATTTTAAATTCTTAGACTGGTAAACGGATCAAACCCGTTAACTCGATGGGTCAATCCGTTATTGACCTGTGATCCGTCGGGTTCTCTTAATGGGTCCTTAACGGGTCACGGGTCATAAATATATGACCCTAACTAGTTTTAAACGAGCGGGTAATGGGCGGGTTAACGGGTTGGATAAGAAATTGCCAGGTCTATATTTACTCCTAAATGCATTTAATTGCTGAACTAACCTAATAGGTTTAATGGTTCATTATCAAGTCTAAAAATTTAAGTGCAAATGATTAGAAGTTTTATTTTTATTAATAACTTGAAAAAATTCTCTTTTCTCTTAAAATTCTCTATGTTCAAAAACAAAATGAATTTAATTGCTTTTTTTTTATATGTAAAAATTAAAAATTAAATTTTAGAGTTATAATTAAAAATATTAATATTTAAAAATTTATTTAATATTAAAAATTAAACTGTATTTTTTTAAAGTAAATAAAAATATTATTTATAAAGTACAAGAGGCTCAAGTTTTTCTACATGTCAAGTAAACGGTCCCCTTCCTTTCCCATTTCGAAGACAAAATGAATTTAATTGCATTTTTTATATGTAAAAATTGAAAATTAAATTTTAGAGTTATAATTAAAAATATAAGTATTGAAAATTTTATTTAATATTAAAAATTAAACTCTATTTTTTAAAACAAATAAAAATATTATTTATAAAGTACAAGAGGCTCAAATTTTTCTACATGTCAAATAAACAGTCCCCTTCCTTTCTATCCCCCTTCATTGCCTCACCCCTTTCGTCCTCTCTGATTTCTATCTCTCCTTTTTTTTCTTTTTTCTTTTTTGGTTAATTTTGTTTTTGCTTATAGATTCGCAGCTTTTCTAAAGACTAGTTTTTGTAGGAGTCTAAACCCTTGATTATGAGACATGTGGGCTGCAGTACTAGCATTGTTATTCTCTTCTCGATGAAGATTTATAGCAGAATAGGCGCTTGATGTTGTTGCGTTGTCTACAACTTTTTTTTTTTTTAATCCTCAATTTATTTACTCAACTGTTATATGAATTTTCGATATAATCTCTAAATTTTTTTAAAAAAAATTGGATTTTAATTTTTATTATTTATCAATTTAATTTTGAGTTAGTTTTTTTATTAAAAAATAATTGATGTATTTATTATTTAATAATAAAAAATTTATTACTTAACGATTATGTATCACATTAATAATAAAATACATTATCTACTTTTGTATGAAATAATTAATTTGAAGTTAAATTAATAAACAAAAAAAATCAAATTAAAATTCTTTTAATTTAAATATCAAATTAAAAATTCATATAATAATTAAGAGGTTAGATTGAGAATTTATTTTTTATTTTTATTTTTATTGTTTTTAGAGATTGAGTAATTATTCACTAATACGAAATTAGGTCACAGAGCCGACAAAAAGATTGAGCTATAAGTCTGAGCCACACCTAGCCGCTTCCACCACTTTCTTCGTGGGGTAGTTCGTCGATGGTGCGATGTGGGGCCATGGTAGACAGATGTTGAACTACGGGTCTTAGGAGTTAATGCCACATGGAAAACAAAGATTTCCACATGGGAAACAAGATTTATCTGCTTTTTGAATCATTGCCTCTTTTCAAAAAAAAAAAAAAAAATTCTGCTTTTTGACCATGTGACCGACCTCTCACCATGAAGATTGCGGCCTGACTTTAGCATTCCATCATGGTTGACTAGCTAATTCTACAGTAGAGTGTGGACACAGCTGATGAAAAATTTAGTGTATGGACGCAAGAGGGAAAAAGTTAAAACAGCTTAACATCTAATTTTCAAGTTTTTATTTTTTTATTTTTTAAAAAAAAAATTGGGAAAACTTAGTGTAATTGCAACAAACCAAGCAACTCCCTTCATTCCAAGTCTTCTTTTCAGGATGACCTGCAAAGCTCAAAGGTAAATCCTCAAAGTAGACACTCTAATGCTTAAGTTAACAATACTCTGGTCTACCTTTAAGAATTATGGAAAAATAAGCTTTAGGTTGGTTTCAATTTTTTTTTTGAGGTGGCCCTTAGGGTATTTATAGGCCTTAATGAGGTATCCACGTGGCCTACTTAATAAGATAATCGGAGTCTAACATGTCTATTCAGGTGATGATTTCAGGGATAGAGGATTGAGTGCAAACATGCCTACTGTAGTTGTCGTAAAATTGTATAACTGGGAATGACTGAACTTACAAGTTATTTCGATCATTAAGGAACTGTAGTAGTACGTCTGAGGTCCTTAACCTCGGACCTATCCTTACACTATTCCCCCCTCGAAGTCATTCATTTGTGAATGATGTAGTCAGAGGTGGTAATGGTTGTGTATAATCATGGGGAGATGCAGAATAATAAATGATGAGAGAAGTAAGTAAAAATTGATGCAACATATGATTTGACTATAGTGATCGTTGCATTATGGTTATGATCGAAGTAAAATTGGTGATGCGAGATCACTGTAGCCAAAGTCAGGATAAAATTTGTGACTCTAGGTCATTGAGGTAGTAACCGAAGTAAAATTGGTGACACATGGTTACTGAGACTGTAGCCGAAGTAAAATAGGTGACACGTGGTCATTGGTGACATGTGGTCATTGGTGACATGTGGTCATTGGTGACATGTGGTCATTGAGGCCGTAGCCGAAGTAAAATTGGTGACACGTGGTCACTGTAACCATAGCTAAAGTAAAATTGGTGACTCATGGTCATTAAGGTTAAATACTTTGTATAATAATGAAGGACATTTGTACGAAAGAAAGGTATTGAGCTAGGTTTAGAAAGGCTCGTGTAAAAAGCCTGACATGGAGTTAGTACATGACATGATAATTGTCTTTTAAAAGACATGTGTAATAAATACAGGTTGTAAAAAATAACTAAAATAACCCAACAGACGCTACCAAAAACTAATCGTTGAATTCAGAAGAGTCCCATTAGGAGTTAACTGTCGAATTCGAATCGGTGTGATTATGACCGTCAGATAAAATTAATCGTAACCGTTAAAACACAAATTTGTACTAGTATATATACCCATACTTATGTAAATTTTCATTACATTTGCCGTATTTACTACTCAAATTTTGTCAAAATTTTAACAAAGTTAGTACAACCGGACTTCTGTGCAAAATGTTTGGAAATACAACTAAGTTTTGCACCACCAAGATTAGGTAATTTAATGTTCTTTGGTGATTTTAATTCTAGTGAAGACTTTGATTCTCCTCTCACCTTCTCTGATTTTTATCTAAGTCCTCTGAAAGAGGTTAGGTTTAGGAGTGAGAGTGACATAAAGCATGAATTATAGTTTATTGAAGATCCTAATTACATCCCACCTCCTACTTCATGCAGTGACAGCTACGAAATGGAAAGATGTCGTCAGAGGAAACACTGAGTGTTGGGGGGAGTGAGGAAGTTAGGATGATGAAGGAAGTTAGTGTAGGAACTAAGTCATCTGGGTCGGAGAGAATGGTGGAAGGGGTGAGAGGTGAAGAGGTGAAGAGGTGGTTGAAGGAGAGGGAGTTCCTTCGAATATTTTAAAGGTTGATGGTACAGGCGAAGGGTAGAGGTAGAGATTATGTCTGAAGTGATAGGGTATGAGAGTGAATGGCCGAGTAGGGAGAGCCTAGTACTTATAGTTGAAATGTATGACATCCCCCAAAAGTACTAATTAGACCAGCCAAAGTAAAGGAAAGAGCATGCTCGGCACCCCAAGATCATTGGATGCCTTTGTATGCATATTATTTGGCAACAAAGCTAAGGTTTCCTATTCTTGAACTCCTAGCTAGGCTATTGTTGGAGTATAGTATAGGTTTAACGCAACTTGCCCCAAATGCCATGAAGGTGATAATAGATTTTTTAGTGTATTGCCAAGCTCGAGGGTTAGAGTTCCTACTGTAAATATGTTTAAATAGTTCTTTGTCCTAAAGGGTGGGAGTAAAAAGGATAAGGGTTGGTATTAGTTTACTCCCTGAGTGTCCAATAAGGAGAAAAGGAATTGTTTTGTGCAAGGCCATCATCCATCAAGGGATGGAAGGAAAAATTCTTTTTTGTTGATGATACTGAGTGGGGGAAAGGGGATGCCGAAGTGGAATTTCTATCTACTTGGAAGGCGAAAAAGGCAAATCAGAATAAGTACAATTTAAATGGAGATGAGGAGGAGGAGGTGGCGGAGAGGTTAGTGAGAGAGGGAGATAATGTTGTAGTATCATGTATCCCACCAACTCAGATGCCGTAGAGGCGGTTGAGCTCTACGAAGCAAGCTCTTTAAGTGAAGGTGTGCTTTATTTTATATTGAATAGCTTGGAGTGAAGTCTTGATGGTTGTTTTAACATGTCGATTTTTACAATTGAGATGGACAAGTTTCTTTCCACAGCTGGAAGGATGGTCATTCCCAAGAAGCCACAAAAGAAGTCAAAGACTTTTGCAACTACTGCAAGTCAAGGGGTGGCTAGAGGCAAAGAAAAGGGGCAATCTTCTAGTGCTTCAGTTTGAGCTTTGAATATTGAAGGGCTGAGGCTGGAGCTCAAGCGGAAAAGAAGTGAGGATGTTAGGCCCACTTAGAAGAGAGTGAGGGTGGAGGAGCATGAGGTTAAAGGGGACGAAGTGGTGGAGTTTGTACCTTATCCTCCCCCTGTTGAGCTTGATCCTAAACTCAAGGAGGTTGGGGTTATAACCCATGAAAAAGGGAAGTCCCTTATTCCTACTCCTCCGCGGCAAGGTGGCTTGTTCGATATAAAGAGCATGACAGCTGCGAAAAGGTTTATAAACTCAACGTTCCTTGAGGTGGATCACCGCCTAGCTTGGGAAGAGGTGTTAAGCCACGATGGGGTTGGGATTGTGAAGCACATCCTTAAGGCATGGTTGGTTTGTTTTATTTATTTATTTATATATTCTGATTGTTAGGGTATTGCAGGTTGCAAGCTTGGTAAATGCTCTGTCACAAGAGTTTTTTGAAACCTTCAAGGAGCGTAACATTTTGGTGAATGAGAGCGAGGAACTTGGGAAGAAGAAGGAAGAGGTGGAGAAGGATTTGGTAGAGGTCATGCTAGAACTTACGTGGCTTCAGGAAGAGAATGATGCATTGAAGACGAAGCTCACATTTAAGGAGAGAAAAAGAAGAATATGTGAAGAGAAGATAGAAGCGCAGGAGAAAGAGAGTGGGGGAATGAAGAAGGCTGCTACCAAGCTAAAAAAAAACATGAATTTTCTGGTGCACAACGCAATGGAGGATCACATTGTTGAGTTCCTGAGGTCTAGCATTTTTTACAACATCGTGAACCTTTACCGGATTCCTACAGCCATTCTGGCATTCTTAAACTGCAGAAAAAAGGTGAAGGCCTAACATGCTGAACTGGATGTGACTGGCATCACCTTCAAGGAGCAAGAAGGAGGGGGTGCAGGAAGATGGAGAGAGTATGATGGCTGACTTTCGTCCTGAAGTCGAGTTGAAATGGGACCATGACCATGAAGGCTATACCATATTTCCTCCTAACTTCGACTTCAAGTTTGTTGCAGTTGAGGAAGAACCAGAGGTCAGAAGTGCTGAGGTTGGGGGTGCTAAAGTTGGAGAGAATAAGCTAGAGGTCAGAAGTGCTGAAGTTGGAGAGAATAAGCTAGAGGTCAGAAGTGCTGAAATCAATCAGCAACCTTTATTCGAAGTGAACTAGCCACCTCTATCAGTATAGTAGCTATTCTTCATTTTCATGATTTCTTTCTTCTGTTTTGATTTTTGGATATTGTATTTGGTTTGTTTGAAATGTTTTTGTAATATTCATTAAAAATTTAATTATATATTTGGGATTTGTTTTGAACACTTATATATATATATGTGCTTCCAGTAGAAATTGGAAGGAAATCACCTTGAATATGAGGTAAAATTCATTAATAAGATTCAAATGCAAGGAATAAAGTGATTCAACAAATTGAGCTTGGACAAAGGCTCTAAAGAACTAAATGATAAGAAATTGACCTTGAACAAAATTTCCAAAGAGCTAAGTGACAAACTAATCTCAGATAAAGGAATCAACAATCATAAACAAAGATAAAGTTCATTGGGGGAATTGAATTAAGGGTAAAACTTTTTCAGATTGTTCATATTCTAGACTCTGGAAACCCTTTTCCTTTCAGCGTCTTGAAGAATATATGCACCTAGGTGGGGCACTTCGGCTATTATATAAGGGCCTTCCCAGTTTGGGGCTAATTTGCCAAAACGAATTTCAAATCCCGTTAGACCAGCTTTCCTTAAAATAAGGTTGCCAACTCTAAATGTTCGGGGCCGAACGCGTTTGTTGTAGAAGTTGACTAATCTTTGCTTGTATGCCAAAGTTCGAAGTCTTGCTTCCTCTCTAACTTCGTCAAGTTGATCAAGGTTCTCCTGAAGCAGTTGTCCATTTCGTCCTTCATCGAAATGGATGACCTTAATGCTTAGGACTCCTATTCCAACAACAATGACTGCTTTGGTATCAAAGGTCAAGTGGTATGGTGTTTCACATATTTCATTAAGTTGTAGTTTTAATATATGCTTTATATGTTATATATATAGATATATATATATATATATATTTGACCTAAAATGGGGCCACAAGAAAAGAAATAAAGTAATGAGAGAGTAAACAAAGGTAGAAAATAATACCTGTGATAGTTCGGCTCGTAGTTCTATATGCCCATAACATGTTGTTAAGCTCGTCTGCCCACCTAGCCTTATGCTACTCCAACCTTGGTTTTATTTCTTCCAAAATAGCTTTATTAATAGATTCCACCATTGGACTTCGGGTGGTACACCAAGGTAAACTGTAATTTGATTCCATAACTGGAGCAAAAGTCTTTAAATGAGTAGTTGAACTGAGTTCCATTATTAGCACAATTTGATTCGGAATTCTATATCTATAGATGATTAAATTGAAAACAAAGTCTTCAACTTTTTTGGAGGTAAAGCTGGATAATGGCTAAGTTTCAACCAATTTCGTGAAGTAATCAACTTTGACCACCAGATTGGTTACTCCTTCAACTCCTTTCACAAATGGACCTAAGAGATCAAGGCCCCACTAGACAAATGGCCACAGTGCCACCAGGTTTGTAAGTTCCTCGGCTGGTTGGTCAGTTAAATGTGCAAAGAATTGGCACTTTAGGCACCTCTACACGAAATCAATGGCATCTTTGTGCATATTCGGCCAGTAATATCCTTGTCTGAGGACTTTATAAGCCAGGATTTGAGCACCAACCTGACTTCTGCAAACGCCTTCATGGGCCTCTTGAAGTGCATATTCAGCTTCATAAGGGCTTAAACACAAGAGAAGGGGAAGTGAAAAAGACCTTTTATACAAGACTCCATCCATTAAAGCATGCCAAGATGCTCTCTTTCTCAATCTCATTTCTTCTTGTTATTGTCAAGAATTGAACCATCGTATAGGAAAGACACAATTGGGTCTGTCCAACTTGATGTGCTTCGATCTGTGCTAATCTCCAACATCCTTGGTTTTTAGAAGTTAGGCTCATCTAGAACTTCAACAAAAACTGATCTTGCACCTTGGGAACTATCAGAGGCGAACTTAGAAAGTGAATCTACTTGCTCATTCTCAATTTGTGGTACTTTGCTCAAACAAAATTTCTCGAATTTGCACTTGAGTTCAACCACCAGGGCTACATACTTCATCAGGCCAGGATCGATTACCTTGTAAATGGAGTTAACCTGATTAACAATGAGCTGCGAGTCACTGTAGATCTATATTGCTATGACTTTCAACTCCAATGCCAATTGCAAACCAAGAAGCAAAGCTTTGTATTCGGCCATATTATTAGTCGCATCAAAATTGAACTTCAAGGCGTCTTCACTTCGGTAGCCATTTGGCCCTACTAATACTGCTCCAGCTTCTAACCCTTTATTATTTGATGCTCCATCAACATGCAAAACCCATGTATCTGGTTGGACTTCCTAACTTGGCTAATCAAAAGTGCATTCAACAACAAAATCTGCTAGTGCTTGAGCTCAAATTG